CGTTCCTTAGGTCCACCAATCACAGCCTAGCCCCTGCACAGGTGAATTTGCATACACACATTAAGAAACAAATAACCCACCAACACACGCACGTAACACAAATCAACATCTGCCTGTAGTATTTTAAGCTGGTTAAATATCTTTAACCTCTTCTCTCTAAACAATAATAATGACTGAAACTATCCCACTGAATGAACAATGGACTGTGAGGTCACTTCCTAGGTCATTGATATGCAAATTATCAGTGGTCATGACAATTGAGTACCAAATGACAAATGAGTACCATTCATAGAGAGTTGGGGAATTGCTGCAATCACAGCATTGTAACATGGTGAAAGATGTACCCTTAGGCCCCCTCCTCGGTTCAGAGATGGTCTTTCCCTTTTCACGTAAAAGCCCTCCTTGACTCTCTGATCAAACCAGCATTCCTCCCTGTCCAGGATCTATACATCCTCATCATTGAAAGAGTGGCCACTGGCCTGCAGGTGTAAATAGACTCCAGAGTCATTAGCTCTTAGCAGTTAGCTCATCTGTGTTGTGCCATCTGCTTAGCCAAAGGTTGTTTGGTTTCCCCGATGTATAAATCATGACAACCCTCCTGGGACTTAACAGCATTTACTATATTACTCTGTTTGTGTCGGGGAACCAGATCCTTCGGGTGGACGGATTTTTGGCGTGTTTTGGTGTTTAAAAGCCACAGAGACGTGGCGTTTAGAAAAAAAATTGGGTCAACTGTTCCAATTCCCCTGACACATAGGCAGCGGTTGTCTTTCTCTCAGGACTGCTTGGGTCTTTCCAGTTCAGACAACCACATTTAAATGGCCTGTATTTGTATAGCGCTTTACTAGTCCCTAAGGACCCCAAAGCGCTTTACACATCCAGTCATCCACCTATTCACGCACACATACACACACTGATGATGGCAAGCTACATTGTAGCCACAGCCACCCTGGGGTGCACTGACAGAGGCCAGCCAAAGTGTTTCACTAGCTTGGCTAGTGCTTCAGCTTGAATCTGGTCACTGGGGACCTTCTTGATATGATGTTCTTCTGCTTCCCTGGGTGCTGTGTCTTTGGGGATAATGTTCGCTCTGTGTTGTAGCATCCTGATGACATTCAGTTTGTGCTCCAGTGGACGATGAGAGTCAAACCTTAAATTATGACCTGTATGCATATATTTAGGATACACATCAACAGTTAAATGTCCTCCAGTGCTGATGGAAATCTCACAGTTTAAGAAGGCTAACCTGCCTCTTCTCATATCCTCACGGTTCCAAGAGCAAACGCACTTGGTCGGTGCTGACAGTGGTCCTGTTGCTAAGGTCTCTTACGAACTACCTTCACTGATTCAGTGACTGGAACAAGAGTGAAGAGTGACGTAACATCATATGAGACCATTGTGTCATCTGCCTCCATAATCACCTTCTCAACAAAATCCAAGATGTTTTGGATGTGGTGTTCAGAAGTGCCTTCCAACGGGGTTGAGGACCAATGCCAGGAACTTTGAGATGTTAC